GTTCACTGGGTCCCCCAGTTACGCTACTTGACTACTCATAGCTTCATCAAGATCTGATGCGCGCTGGTGCAATTTAATCTGATCAAAGCATCCTTTCTCGTTTACTTTTTACTAATTTTGCCATCAAGCAGTAGCGACTTGCTTACGCTTAATCCAAGCATTGTTAACTTTATTGGGTGTAATGTTTAAGTGATTTCGAACTAGGGATTATCCCCCTTTAATTTATTTTAAAATGACACCATGGGCCATTAGTTGAAGTTATCAATTTACCAAGTTACCCCAAAGCACCCAGCTTTTGCGACTCACCGCTTAGCGTAACTCGAATCAAGGATAAGGATAGCTTCCACTATGTTAATGTTTGAACGGCTTGCATGTTCAGCTTCCCCGGCTTTGCAAATAGCATCCTACATTGATATTGCTTGCTATCGGTGGATCCTTTAACTATCTTGGGGTGCATGCTCAGCAAACCGCCTCGCGTTTTCAACGCCAAGATTTCCGGGGTTGTGCACAGGTCTTTTGTAGCCCTCACCTGACTTCCCGTTGCGACGAGACTGGGCCTTAAAGTGGTAAAACGGTTTCCGTGCCTCCTTGATCCATTGAGCTGCACTGGGTGGTGTCACCGAACCCATGGGAGCCTCTCCTACCTCGCTGGTCATTGGTTAGAGGCCTGCCGAACTCAGTCTCCTAATCCCCAAGGTTTGGGGATTTGAAATGGGATGGCGTCCATTTCTGTACAACTAAATCAATGCCACCTCTCAACTGGCTTGCGGACAGGCTATTTAGCCAATGGCTGTGGTTGAGGACCCTAATCATCCTGTTTAACTCTGTGCGCCCTGACCGTATCTCAGCCCACGGACAACCAGGACCAATTCTTCAAACTTCGACCGCATCGGCTGTTGCGCAGATTATCAAGGGTCGCCTTCTCTGCTGCATATAGTAGGGCGGATAAGCGAAAACATGCTACTGCTGGCGCCTCCCTTCTTTCTTCTCCACCTGTTTCTTCTACTCATCTCTCAATCCCCATTACCAACCTTTCTTCCATAGTTCCTAACCTAATTTCCAGGAGCGTCCACTATCTGCGACTACCCTCCTGTACCACCTGCTGGACACCTCATAAAGCCACGCCGTCCCGTTTCGTTGACGGCGTTTAACTTTACTCCAGCTGTTCCTCTCGCTATTTGTTGCACGCATCCGGAGACGCTGATGCGGCAATCACTGGTCAAACTGGCATGGGCATCGTTCTCATCTCTAAGGCTGCATCTTCGTTGGTTGATTGGATTCCGTTGACCTGCCGTCTGTGTGCAGTTCGTTTGACGACATCAGCTGAGGCTGATACAGATAATAAAGCTAGACGCTGTTTGTTTGTGATTTCCACTTATGCCCCGACCAGCTGCAGTTCTAGTGCTTCCAAGGACAATTTCTATCGAGAGTTGAATACGATACTACACAGTGCTACCAGTTCAAATATCATAGCGATTGCAGAGGATATGAAGGCTCAAGTAGATCGCCTGGGTTCTTCAGAAGCTCAGCTAGGTAGTAAGTCTGGGCTTAACTCCGAACGGACGGGCAAGGGCGAACATTTATTGCAACTGTGCGGCGCACCAGCTTTCGCTTAGTAGCACCGCTTTTAGACCTAGTGGGTGCTGAAATTACACTTGGCTTCCTCCTGTAGCTAGCCAGCGATGGACCCGAATTGATAACGTCGCCATAAGTTACGGGCTGCCTTGTTCCATACCGGACTACCGCTCGTTCTGAGACGCCTACATAGATACTGATCATGCTTTGGTACGCCGTCGTTTTTCCATGAATTTCCCCCTGGGGCGCACCAAACCTCTCCCTCGATTGGCAACTGAGAGGTCATCTCAGCTCTCGGTCAGACAAGCCTACCAGAATGCCCTGCGTACCGAACCTTCACCCTTATATCCTAATGACAGTTTCAGTGGAATAGGATCTCGGCTGCCATGCACGACGCAGGAGCATTTGCTTGTGATACTATCAATCCTCACCGCATCGTTCACTGGATATCCGAGGTCGGTGAACCAGTTGGAGTCCGGAAGAAACTCCCGGCTGGCTTTGGGTACAATGTAACTTTAGAGACCATTAGGCACGAACTAAAGCGGAACCTGCGGGCTGACGAAGAGGTCTGGCATATCACTCGGGCGGAGGCAGGAGCAGTAGGCAGTTATAGCACACCTCTCTACCTTATCCGCACCACTGATCCCAAGAAACCAGGCGTCAGGGAGACAATCAGAGAGAGCGCAGGTGCCATGATTCACCATTGGGAGCGTCGTATGACTCGTTGAGCGAGGCACTTTCGAGAGCAGTTCAATTGGCACCCTGCTTCCTGATCCCTTCCCACTCAGGTTAGTTTAGAGGCTCCATTGAAGACTGAGGTCTGAAACTCAGTCGCAGCTCTTAATCGTTTTCGTGCTGCTGACCCGGATTCAATCCTAGTTGCACTATTTAAACATGATGGTGAGGTCATCTGCAAAGTACTGACCTCACTGTTCGAACATATCTGGAAGGAAGAGACCATCCCAGTCAACTGGACTGAATCGATGCTAGTGACAATCTACAAGAGGGGCAGTCACACCGACTGTGCTAGCCACAGGACTATTTGCCTAACGCCGATGGTAATAAAATTGTTTGCCTCAGTTCTTGCTGATCACCTCACTGCGGACCGAGGATTCCGTATTAGGAGAGCGCAGGCGAGGTTCCGTCCAGTACGGGGCGATATAGACCATATATTCACTATACGGTAGGTGCTAGAACAGCGCTACACATACAGCAGACCAACAATAGCTGTGTTCTTGAACTTCAGGAGTGCGCTCGGTTCAGTCGATCGATACATTATGTTCGAAATATTTGCGCGGAAAGTTGTTCCCATGAAATATATGAACATTTTACGTGCGCTGCACTCAAACACCACGATTGGCGTCATGGTATACGGTCACCTGTAGTTTATCTTTCCTACAACAGGTGGTGTTCGTCATGATTGTTTAATTTTCCCATTTTTCCATTTCGTCTTGGACTCCATCATGGAATGTTCCATTTCGGAGTCTTACAATGCAGTCGTTGAGCTGTTGTGATGATCTTGATTATGCGGAGGATATCTTCCCGCTGTTTAACGATATCGCGACGACACAATCAACCCTGAATAACTTCTCGATTGTGGTCCCCTTATTTGGTATGCGCTTCGCATCTTCAAAGTGTGGTCACAGGATCATCAGCCGCTTGATGACTTTTTTGCCCCTGATAGCGTGGAACTCGAGATAGTTGATCGATTCACTTACCTTGGTAGGTGCATCAGCACCGATGGGCGTATAGCAACTGAAGCAATTTCACCTATTACTGTGCATTTTGAATCTGAAACATCGTCATCAGAACGGGTTTTTTGGTCCGAAAGGCCATGTTTTTAATCCCACATTAAGGGCCGTCCTCTTTTATAGGGTTGAGACTTGACCCCTGCGATCTAAGGATCTGAGGCATCTACAATTCTTTGATCATCACTGTCTGCGGAGCATTGCCGGTTTCGGGTGGTACCAACATGTGCGCAACGAAGATGTGCGTGGGCGAGTACTAGGTAGGGCTAAACAAGATAGTTCCTTAGAACCACAGATAGCACTGAATAAGTTGCGTTGGCTTGGGCACGTACTGCGTATGCCCGGTCACCGCTTACCAGGAGAGCTCTGTTTTGTCCGCCAGATGTAGAGTAACACAAGCCTCGGGGTGGATGAAGGTTGATTTGGCAGCGGGAAATGAAGTCACGGACGACCAAACTGATTGCCATTGGTCCGTCTAGCCTTTCAAGCTGGAATCTGTGTGACTCACCTTTTGCTAAGCTCGTGCCTACAGATCATCGGTCATTCGCCTCTCAGGTTGAAAAATGCTGAAATATCCACATGCCCTGGTTGCTTCTAAACAAGTTGCCTCACGGTTGCTTCTTTACCTCCACACGCTACTTAGCTGTTCGTGATGGTACGATGTTGGTGCTACGTAGGCATCTTGGTTCCGAATGTTTGTGTGGTAAATTTATGTGCCACCTTGAGTTCTCCTTAGCGTCGCACATGTTATGGTTTTACGTCCTACGGAAATCACGGCTATTCTATCCACCTCACTTGCTGCACAGATTACTGTGAACAAACGCTAGGAACCTGAAACTTTTAGGCTTGTATCTTTATGCCGCTAATTCCCACTATACGAAATTGATTTTATACTGACGTATCCGGAGTCAGCCGGCACGTGGCCGAAAGAACTAAGCGTCTGCATTGCAACCCGGAGATCGCTGGTTCGAGACTACTTAGTGGACCTAGCGACCGTCACAGTATCTCTAGCCTTCATTTGATCGGTGGTGGTTGCTTCGCAGCGAAGCGTCGGTGCGGCATACTGCTGCTGACTGGTCAGCTGTGAGCCTATCGGTGGTGGAAATCCGTTTGCGTTTGATGTTCCCATTGCTGACTTTGTTTACCCATTGTATCGTAGCGTTTATGCCAGAGGAGCTTCGACATCGGGCTAAGCCGTTGAGCATATAAGATCTTTCTACATAGCTGCAACCGAACTCGTTTTATAAGGAGCATTTCGTTGCTAGCATCACCCCTATTTGACACATTCGAACATCTTTGCCAGGTATCAACTAATTTTTCGAAGTCCTTGTCTCGGGTCGAGATAAGCAGTATCGCTCCGCTCATTCTGGTATTCGTCCTGTTCGATAGTTTGATTATTCTATTGGACTTAAGCTAGAGGAAGCAACTGCGCGACGATTTAAATCTAGCTTGATATCTTCTGGAATTTTTCTCTCTCTAGCGACCAGTAGGTTGTTTTCCATATGTGGTTTATTCATCACTTGACTACATTACAGTGGCTCGGTTACTTGGCTGTAACTTCATTTTTTCATAGCTGCTGAGTTAATAAGATTTTTCCATCCGGTGAGATTTTGCGGTTATTTCGCTTTCGTCTGATTTAGGCACTCTGCTTCGTTCGCCCACCTGTTATTTTCTTAGACTGGAACTGTGGTCATTCGGGTAGAGGCAGTTGACAACGGCCCAGTGTGCGCACGTCTGGCTTCTCAGACTGTGGATGAGCTTTGCACCAATGATGGACGATATGACCCGTTGGTCAACCCTACCAACGATTGGAATCCGGACCTGATTACGTTTTGGTACCAGCGAGCACATTATTTAAAGCAACGTGGCACATGGATCATCCAAGGACACAGCACCAACGACATGGATTCATCTGACACTCATCGAAGCGTTTGGTCCGCCGCATTCGCTTGCTACTCGCGTGCCCTGCAGCTGGTATCATTAGCTCATGCGGCTCGCCTGAACTGCACATCACATGATGGGGCTAGTGTCGTCAAGCAGCAGAGGGATCAAGAACAGGATCCAATCCTGGATCTGGATAGCTTGATTGACTTTGAATCTGGCAAATTGGATGACTCTCTCGAAGCGTTTATGCGCTTGGAATTCAGGTAATGCATGCCGCTTCATTGTACTTTAAGGTGACCATCTTTCGGTGGCCTGATGCTCCTTCTGTCTTTGTTGCATTCGATGGGAGCTGTTCTGTCGAATCATTCCGCCTCACATTAGACGTACCATGCATTGTCCACATACTCGAGTCCGCTGTGAAATTTTCCCTTTCCAAATAGCTCACATAACCTGCCATCCCTACCGATTCATACCTAACTACACCGTATTGTCTTCATTTTATCGTAATTTGTTTTCTCCATTGCATCTATGTTTTTCATTTATGCTACCAACCCATCGGATAAGAGCATGTTAGCTTTGTTTTTCTTACCAATGCGTGTCATTTACAGACGACTCCGTGGTCTGAAGGCGCTAAAGTTAAGTCAACTCGTGGGGTGGGCACTATGGTTGGTGTGTCGATTAACTGTTTCTTAGACCTCCTTGTATTTTGATGCTTGGGTACGGCGTAGCTTTGACCAAGACGATTTGCGTCGAGTACTACGGCCGTCAGGAAAATGACTCAACGCATCCATGTTCCCGGGAATTTCCATTGCCAACAGTGATTAGGTGACTTCTGGCGGTTTACTGAGTTGCGCTAGTGTTGAGTCCTCCTAATTTAACGCGGTTCGGGTTAGAAGAACAATCTCGTTCCCCTTGTGCTACATATCCCAGCAAAAATCAGGATTTGGCGGCCCCAACGCAATGATGTACTAAAAGAGCAGCTACTCAGACAACGGAAATTCAAGCGTATCTATAGTTCAGCTGAAAATCTCTAGAGCAGATCAGTTGCGAACAATAGCAGTTTGGAATCCAGTCAGTCATTCGGAAGATATGTGTGTGAAGCGAGATGGATTTGAGTTTTCTGGAGACGAATCGGTCATTTTCGCCGAGAACTATTGATTCGATTAGTTTTATCGTTTCAATATTGATTTTTATGGGGATATTTAAAGCTCTCTTAGCTATTTTGCCCCAGTAACTGGCTTCCAGGACCATAGTCATCTCCGTCGTTTTATTCAATTTACTGAGGTGTCCTTTCTTGACATCCCCGATTACACTCCTTGGTTTTGAAGGATTGTCGCTTGCTGTCACCCCAAGCAATTTCGCCCGTACTAAACCCCAGAACGAGCTTCACTCCAGACGGCAATTGTCGCACACCACACACTTGCTGCCACTAGAGATACAATGCTCTTGTTTGGTAGCTTCGAGTTTTGGGGTGTCGTTTGTCATAACATTATATCTGCTACAGCGGCAGTTGTTGTGAATAGAAACACTTGCATTACTCTGCAGTGTAATGAGCACATGTGTTATCCATATCTTGATAACCACATGTATATATGTACATGTATATATGCACATGTATATACGTACATGCTGAGGCTGATGTTGCATTCTTGGTGCTTCTTCACCGCAGTTGGGCTAAATCAACTTACACCTAAACTCGGTCATTTTAAGCTGGATACATTTCATTCCACTTTATTAGGTTTGTTCTGCCTCCCTGAACAATGTTCTATTAACTGGCCACGTTGCTTACACTAATTGCGCTTATCTTCAGTAATTTTGTTGCGTTTGTAGCATTTTGAGTAACTTGTGGACATTCTTTCCTTATCGCGGCTTCATTGCTAACCAACTTACTTCATATGCTAATTTAGCGAAGAGTTATGCCATCGTATCTGTATGCATTATTGGATTTATTTTATTTCAGCTTGTCGTTTAAAGTGCATGGCTATTGTTTGATATCCCTGGTATGGTTGCGCTTGATGTGTATGTTGACAAGGTGCCTACCTGTCTATTACCCATTACATCGTTCATTCTGGCTCCAGGAGAGAGTTGGTCGTTGCTGGAGGGGACGGGGTGCACGGTTCTTGTGGCCGTGCTAGGCTCGAAGAGTGGTTCCATGCACTCAGTGTGGAGCGGACTACGATCCAGCCACCGCCTTGTGTGCGCTTGATTCCCCAAATACAGCGTGCTTGTGTTTGCCTGTGAAGGAGTGTGGGCCGGCTCCGTTGATGAAACGTGGCTCCCATCCACATGCCTCCCGGTCTTATTCCTTCGGGTTTACACTGGATATGGGGTGTGTGGTTGGAGCTGTGGGTGGTGCAGCGCAAGCCATCCATGGTCCCTCTGTAGGCGCAGGCGTCCTGTGGCTGGCCACAGTGACAGACAAATCCGAAACCGGATGCCGCCAATCATATGTACAACACTACGATACCAATGACATTTACTGTGTGCTGTGATCCTGAACTCTAACATTTTGCACACAGGATTTTAGCTTTTTTTGTTAATAACAGCACCAAAAATCGAGCATAACTATTTTTTAGAGCATAAGGACGTTCAGCTACAATACACCCCTCATCTACTCCCGCTTTTCATACTAATGTAGAGTCCATATTGTGTAAAAAGTAGAAATATCTTTGGAAAAGAGCGAACACATGGATGTTGTCGGGAAGCTCCAGTTTAAAGGTAAAGCCTCACTGATCACAACAATTCAGAAGATATATGGCTTCTTTAGATCGCAATTTTTCTGCCTCCGCAATAATTCTTTTTAGAGACCTACTGCTCGTTGGATTTCTTTTTGGCATGCATCACTAAGTAACGTCCTCACTCCCCTTTTCACGGTTACGACCTGTTTGCGGTCACACTATCTTATTCATGCATTTTGCTATTCTCTTGGCTGCGGTCACTCAATTTTTTTGCCTCACTCCACCTTCTTGTTTGTGTTTTCAGCCTGCTTCTAAATTTGGCCTTGTGTCAACTCAAAGTTGGCTCTGCGGACTTCGCCGCCAAACTATGCACTCAAGCGCTCTCGCAGTTAGATCCAGGTTGGGTCGTTGTAGCAGAGAATAGTACATCCGTGCAACCGAGGGATTCGGCGATCTCCAGGCTTGATGTGGCCAAGTGTTTGTATCGTCGAGCTCAGTCACTGACCATCGTCAACAGGCTGGATGAAGCACTAGCCGATTTGGAGTTGGCTTCCAAACTACAGAAGCTCGATGTTTGTCCACATCCTGGCTTGGCTGCTACGGAATCGCTTCTGATTCGTGTACGTCAGCAACTGTCACGCGATCAGGAATTGCTTGCGCAGAGGTTGCGACATCGACGTGAATTGTTCCAATGACGGTTTAGCTAGCCACCACTTTCAAGGCGCCTTTTTAATGTGACTAGCGGCTGCAAACGCTTTTTACCGATCACGTATTTATAAATGTACAGGCACACATGGCCCTATTTCACATATATGTCTGCAGTTCTCACTGAAGAGTTCCATGTTTTCACATCCCTTACAATTGTCACACGGTGTGCTACCTTCCAGTCGGACTACAGAATAGCCAGTAGGCAGTTTGAATCGGGTAGACTTTTTTCGGATCTTTGTGCACATGGAGTCAGTGTCAATTGGTCCAATCCCATAGCGATGCTGGTTGTGATACTGAGCATTTTGAATGAGATACCGCGCCGGGTTCAACACTTGTATCGGGCTCCATTAGGAGAGAACGGGATGCTGCAGCTGTCTCGTTCTTGTTACTGTTGACGAATTGCTTCAGTGAAGTATTTCTTCGTTGTGAAGCACTGATACTAAGAATCAGCTTTCATTTTCAGTCTGTTAGTAACTTTTACCTATGTTGCTGAGCGACTGCGCGCCCTACACAAGCATAAATAATCGTTGAAGAGTTAGTCCATAGGTTTTAATTCGGAAGCTGCTTTAGCGTTAACGGTTTTGCTGATGTGGTCTCTTTACGCGTTTCTTTCGATAATCGGTGTCGGTGTGAACTGAACTTTTCTCTAAGGGACCGAGTCTGCAGTGCTATGGTGAGAACGGTCATGTTCTGTGGTTACGAGACGACCCATTTTGTTGCTTGCCTTGGTCTCCCAGCCGCGTCAAGAGAAACAACACATACCGGCTCAGCACACTAGCGTTCTCTCCACAATTCTGAGGTTCTGTACTCCTAGCTGGATGTTTACGAACTCACTCGTCCACTCGATCGATCGCCTGATCGACCGTACTGAGCCGGACAATTGCCCTCGCCCCTCGTTTCATCCATCTTCACATCCTTACTTTTTTCACCGTTTTTGTTTTTCATTTGCCATGTCCTCGTCCATTGCGGGCGAGCTTACGGTATGAAGGAGTAACAGTCTCAGTAAGGTTAGGCTGCATTAGAACGTTAGATGTTGTCATCAACTTCCTTCACCTTCGACTGAAATAACGCTGAGTCGAACTTGTCCCGATCTTGGTAGATAGCGCTTTTCTTCCTTTCAATATCATCAGGCGAGAATCCTCATTCGTCCCTCTGACAATGATAAATCTTTTTTTACTTTATCTTCCGTTTTTGTGACAACGCTTCCTTTCGGCTGCAGCCTCGGTCCGTTCGACCCTTTGAAGTGACTGTGTGTTGTACTGCACTCTATGCCGATGCAGCTTTTCGAGGACAGCATCCTGTCAGTAGTTCTTAGATCAGGCTGTGATTATGCTGATCGCTTTTGTCTCAACGGCGTTAGAAAGACGCACTCTTGTTCTCTAAGACCATGTGAGTACATTATTGTGGAATCCTCCGTCGTTTGCTGACATTCACTGTCCACTGAATTGGCATCTACCAAGCGGCTGCAAATAGAGAGAAAGATTAATCGACCATCCAAATGATCCTCAAATCTTGCGATTATTTGTGAAAGATCCATCACTCCATCATGGTCACAGAAATTTCACGTCTGCATTATATGTCACGATTCATAGCCGATAGCGTACCGGAACATGGCTTACGATATTCATCCAACTGGATCAAGGCTGCGAATTCCATCCAATTCGCTTTCCACACTTTCCTCGTTGTCAGGTAGCGTGCTTTCCATCATCTCTAGAGCAGTCGGCAGTGAAATCGACGGCTTTCCACCAAAATCGAGTGGGGTCCGGCGCATCAGCTTATCCTCTGTCATCATGTTGCGTGTCTGCGTCCCCCAGCCGCGTCAAGAGAAACAATACACACCGGCTCAGCACACTAGCGTTCTACTCACAAGTCTTTGGTTCTGTACAATTAGCTGGGTGTTTAAAAACTCGCTCATCTACTCGATCGATCGCCTGATCGACATCACTGTGGCCGACAATTGCCCTCGCCCCCTGTTTCAGCCACCAACACACATTTCACCCGTGAGCTTTTCAGTGATGTCTGTTTTCGATCACCAATATCTTGGGGACATTGCCATTGTGCGATGGCAACATCATGATGATGTTTTTCGACCAGACAAACTCTGCCGAGCTGCATTGTCTCACCGCGCATGCTTCGGTAGCTTTGGCACGTGCACCGCATGCTAACTCAGCGTGTAACTCATCATGCACTGTTTGCATGCGCATTGGTCGGTAAGAAACCAGCGAACAACTTGGGCCTAAAGCATGAAAGCGATATCTTCAGATTTGGTCATGTTCAGCAGTCTTGACACCCGGGCTTGTGAAGCAAAGACAACGAGCACGCTTGACTAGAAACCCCTCTAGACATATATATATATATATATATATATATATATATATATATATATATATATATATATATATATAATCTGGCGGGAGAGCCAAACGCGCGCTAAGGATGGTGGTGGCTAGATCCTGATAGATGGTCTACGCACTGTTGCTACTGTTGGGCCATCGACTAGTGCCCTGGACGCCTCGTGGCGACCGATTGGGGGTATTTCGGGTACGCCCTTCTCCTAGCTAAGATCCAGAACACCAATCCGCATGAATCAGTGAACTGACCATGTGCTAGACCTGCTGTCTTTCGGGTGTACATTTAATCGAAGGCTTTTGCTGAGGACCCGTGTCGTTCTTCTGTCAAGTGTGGACACCCTGTCAGTATCGTAGCCCATCCTCTTCGGAGGTCAGGAAGTGGTCGATGGCTCTCTTCCCGTAAACGCTAGCCATTGGAGACAACAGGTCTACGGTTTATAAGCTCACAGCTCGATTGGCGTAGTGCACGACTGCCACGCATTGTCTCTGACGGTGGGAGGGTTCCTCCAGGTGCTCGATGGTTTGCTACTGTCCGCCTCAAGGCAGGTAAACCCTGGTCAAATCGGTGCAAACCCACCAAAACCCTCCTGCGTCTGGCTGTGGTCGTAAGTGCCTACCCTACTACGGTCGCAAAACATATATGAATCGTTCCGGTACCGCAAAGGCTGCGTGTAACGGCCGTCAAGCAGATCCCAATCTGTCTCTGCAGTCACATTCCCGAACAGGATCTGTTACCCACTGCCTTGTGGGTCAGGCTATTGAGCTAAAGGCTCCGGGCTGGCTTGCCGAACAACCTTCTCGTGGTGCCAGCTGGGTGGTTCGGGATTTTCCCGTTCCAGCAAATGGTTCGGCGGCAGTGTTCCAGGACGTGGTGGGTTTTCGCCTGGCAAGCGTTCTCCCTATAAAAAGCCACATATGTCCGTTTAACAACACTGTGACGTGGCGGACGTGACTCGCCACTAAATAAAGTCACTGCCCCTTGCTTCATCCTGGCGAAGCATTGTATTCCAGCAACGTCATGCTGTACTTCTAGGGAGCATTGGGCCCCTGTTTGACAAAGGAACAAACGAAAGGCGTATGAACTGAGCAATCAGTCACCGGCTCCCAATGGGCGCGATTCCCTGAATTCGCTCCGCTGCCTTGCGGACAGGCTATTAAGCCAAAGGCTCGGGGTGGTGTCCCCTAAGTCAACACCCTACTTCGGCTTGGGCAACCGGGTAGTATCTCGCCCTCTGAGGAAACCATGGACATTGTTGTGTTGTGTTGTGTTTTATTTTACTGTTTCTGTACCTTCGTTTGAATCCCATGGCTTCTGATGGCATTATGTCTGTTAACAGACTTTTGCATATATACAGATATATACATACATACATATATATATATATATATATATATATATATATATATATATATATATGCTCCGGACTGAGTCCTTCAAGCAAACCTCCAAAGCACAACCGCCACCTCACGTGCGATTGCCTACCATTGTAATCGTATGCCTGCGCGCAAGGTACTCCGCATCGGGTGCTGGAACATGCGCGCACTACTAGACCGGAACTGGAGTGAGCACCCGGAGCGACGCACTACGTTGTTCGCGATGGAACTGGCGCGTTACAACATCGATATTGCGGCGCTCAGTGCAACCCGGCTCACTGAGCAAGGTAAGTTGCTTGAAGCAGATGCTCGCTGCAGGGTTCTTCTTGGTGGGCAACGCTACTCAACACCACGTGAACATGGGGTCGGATTTGCAACATCCGATCGCGCCAATGACCAGCTCATAGGTGAGTCAACAACCATCGACATGCGGCATATGACTGTTCGCCTACGACTTGGAAGAGATAAGTTTGGCACTTTTCTAAGCACGTACGGTACGACCATGTGTTATCCTAATGATACGGGTGAGCAATTCTACACTCAGCTATCCTCCGTGTTACGGTCTGTGCCGAGGAGCGACCAGCTATTTCTGCTGGGTGATTTCAACACGCGCGTTGGGCGTGATGCATCGGTGTGGACAGATGTTATCGGTACGCATGGCATTGGTTCAGCGAATGCGAACCGTGACATGCTGCTCTCACTTTGTGCCACTCACGGCCTGACGATCACGAACACTTGGTTTTCACTGAGTACGAGTGACATAGCAACTTGGACGCACTCACGGAGTGGTCAGGCACACCTGCTCGACTATGTCATTGTACATCAACATGATATGCGTGAAATGCGCGTAACACGTGTACTGCGTGGAGCAGAATGGGGCGCTGATCACAGATTAGTTTGGACCAAACTGTACATATATTTCCGTAAATCTGTGTATTGCACTCCTGCCGTGAATCGGCGTAAATTTAGCATTCTATCCCTCGGCACTGTGGAGAAACGTTTTGAGCTGGAGAAGGCGATGGATACTCGCCTGTGTGATGTGGAATGCATAGCCACAGTGGGCGACCTTGTGGCCCCACATTCGCTATCAGCTGACAGCTGGAGCCGAGGAGACCATCGGGCACGCTTACCGTAAGCGGCCTGACTGATTTGATGAGAACAGTGCGACGATTGGCGCATTGCTGTCATAGATGCATACAGCATTTGCTGCACATATATGGCAGAACCCAGTGACTTGGGGAAGATGAGTAAGTATGGCAGCATTCGAAGACGACTGACCCGGGAGCTGCGTCGCGTAGATGCATGGTAGACGGAGAAGGTAAAGCAGATGGAATGCTATGCCGAACGTCGCCGACACAAAAAATTCTTTGACTCCTTGTTGGCGATTTATGGACCGAGGTTGGAACCACTGAAGATTCTAATGGATGGTAGTTCAGGCGCTACCTGCACACAGACTGCAGACACAACACAGATCTGGCAAAGACACTTTGTCTGTCTCTTGAACAACTGTTCAGA